GGTGGAAAAAGGCGAGGCAAGGATGCTATCGGTGCACCTGTCGCTCCTAAATCTTGCTACTTAAGACTGCCAAGTGTCACGGTCATTTCTCACCCTTTCGTCTTCGGCATTGCACTTAATTGGCTAGCGCGTGCTTGCGTGTTTTCACGTCCGACGCGGCATGCGTGCGCGTGTCTACTCCGAATTAGTCTCAGCTCGGAGCCTTGCATTTTCATGATACTCGATACGAGATTAAATTAAACGCGGCTTTAAACCACTCGTCGTTCGTTCGGGACGCTTGCTTTCGCTAAGACGACGCCAAGTTCGTCTTCGATTTTGATCATAGGCGAGAAAATGTTATTTGGAAATTAAACTTAATAAGCGCTTAACAACGAACGATCGTAATAACATTCGTCGTTGATCGGATAAAAAGACTGGACGGTATCCGCCAGTCTTCGAATCTAACACGCGTCTAACGTGTCTCGACTTTGGCATTGCGCTTCGCGTTTTCGCACGTAATTGGTTTGCGTGTACTGGCCAACTCGCTATTTCCAACCATCGTACTCGTTAGTTTATTACTAGTCGTTTTATTCTCGCGGTGCGCAACTTGCGTCCGTGTTCGGAGTTCTTATCGAGGAGAGACTCTGACGCTCGTTAAACGAAACTCGTTCGATTTCGAAGCCAACGACGAAAGCATTGGCCCGTTTCGATGGTCGAGCAATTACTCGAGAAAGCAAAGGATCGTCCGCGTCTTCCCGCTGCCAAATAAGCGATAACAAATGGCTCACAGCTTCGTTAAGTCGACCGGATAGATCCGTTTCAATAAACGTATTTTACGACATCGTTACCATGTAGTGGAAACATAAGTCATCGTCGAGCGTTCGTCGTCGTTCCTAACCTCCCACTCGTTGCACCACGACGAACCTCCGGCAAACGTTTAAAGACGGACGAATCTCGATCGAGTCGTCAACCGTGACGATGACGACGAAACAGAATCGCTCCGGAAAGGAATCGGTGACGACTCCGTATCGTGCGCATCGAACAGCACCGCCATCTCCTGTATCGTAATCGAGTAATCGTTCCTGTCAACCTTGGTGCGCAGATCGGTTCGCAAGCATTCTCCTTGATATCCGTTGAGCTTGAAGCGGAGACTAGTCAGAGGTAATAACGCCGAGCATCGCCGAGCGTTCCCGAGAGACAGACGCACGTTCGAGACAGCATTCGGTCGTCGAGGCTCGTGTCCATTGGCGGCAAGACGAGGACTGCTTCCAAGTAACGATCTCGACTATTCCCAGAGCGGGCACGTAGCATCGGGCGGCCGCGGTCGAGAAGATCCAAGATGGTGGGTGCGCGATGCGAAAAGCCACTACGTCGAAATGTACGCAATTTAATAAGGAACGTAGTTTACGAGGCGGAGCGGGAGCCACGCGGCAAGCTGTTACAACCGAGATTTAACAGCTACGACGAAGACGCGGCTCGTCTCCTCGTGCGCGTTTCCCCCTTCTACCTTCTCCTTTCTGGTGTTACGC